TGATTTAGTTAGTTTGCACATATCTAAACGTATTAATAGAAGCATGTCTGGTAAATAATTTCTTTGCCAAGTAAGAAAACAAGGTCAGATGACTCCTTTAAGCTCATTAGGAGATAATGAGTCGTGTTATCAAGAATTACTTATTAAATAAAGGTACGTTCACTTCCTCACTGTGACCCTCGTGTATCAAACTTTCTATCACTCTTCCATGTTCAGTTTTTTTCCCTGCACATCATTAGCTCCCTCATGTTCGGTTTCTCTTCGTCACGGTTAATACGTTTGCAAAGAAGCTCTGCTCGCTCCAGTTTTTACAGTCCGACAGAAAGCAGGAGGAGCAGCGCTTTCAATTCACTTCAGTGCCACGCTGCTCTCTGTCAGTTTAGTCACAATTTTTTATCGGCTACTCGCTAAGAAAAAAAAAAATGGGGGAAACCAGGAACGCTCTGCTTGTCTGAATCTCCTGCTGAAGCTTCATCCGTAGGTCTGTCAAGATAAAAGTGCCGGCACATCTAAGAGCAGACAGAGGTTGAACATAATGTACCTGAATGCAAAAGTAGCTGGTGACTTAGTGAAACTTTTCTCTCAAGGTCTACTCAGTGGATCAGTGCTGCATTAAAACTACCAAAGCAAGTAGAGTTTAGTTCAAATGTAGCTTATCTGCTGATGCCTTTTGGTGAACTTGTTTTTGAACAAAAGGGGAATCATGGCGTTACTCCGTTATTTTAAAAAAACCACAATGATGTTTCAGGCATCCGGACCCCAAAAGAAGACGTCCTGACGAATTCCGTCCCAACTACCACCAGGGAAGAGAAGGCCCTCTCCAGGACTTCAGGAGGATGCCGGACCACAGACCAACAGGTCCGCCTGGGCCCGAGCACTACAGCCGGCCCTTCCACCCGGACAAACCTCCCCCGCTGTTGGACCCTCGCTCCCCGCAGGCTCAGAAGTCTCCCCAGGACTCCCGCTCTCCCCCCGAGCGGCCCGCGGAGCCCAACGCCATGGCGGACCCAAACTGGAACAACAGAAAAACATAAAGTCTGCCCTGTGCAGGCTTTGGAAAAAAACAAAAACCAAACTGATCTGAGTGTTTCGTCCAGGGTCAAAGCCACATGCTGCTGCTGATGGACAAGTCTGGACTCGCCAATTATAAGCTCACAGTTGAAAAGGGAATCAACGTGTACCCTCTTTACCAGCAAAACCAAACTATTTTGCTCTTTCCCCCCCAGTGACTGTGGCTGCGAATGATCTGTGCGCGGAAGGAAGAAGTTTGTTTCCTTCTGTCTTCAAGATGAAAAAAACAAAAAAACTAACTAAAACATGCATCTTTATTTAAATGAACTGGCTCATCAGTTGATCATGGTAAGACTGAGTGGAACACTTCCGGATGCTTAGTCCCATGGACTATTATATAAGGAGAATTTAGGATACATGAACTGGTGACTGATCTCAATCCTAAAAGTGCCTGAAGGTTTTGGCCTTTTTGAATGGTAAATGTATGGGATTATTCCCAAAGGAACCATGACATGGACATTAGTTTTTGTGTTTAGCTTTAAGTCTTGCAAATGATGTCATTAGAAGGTTTCAATACAATAGAATGTGTAACGTGTTATCATCTGCACCTTCGAAGTGTTTCTCTTGAACATGTAGCTGAACCGAATCCTGGAGTTTAACCATGTGTGTGTGTGTGATGGGGAGGGATGAGGGGGGGAATGGGACGACCTAATACTTTTGAAATTTGAATGATCAAACAAGCCAGTATGTCTCTTCTATAAACTCAGCAGAATGTTCGCAATGGTTTTAACAAGTTCACATTTCTCATGTGTACAGATAATCATGATTTCTGTAATTGTGTAGCTGTGTAAGTCATTGCTCTGTTCACTTTAACCACTTTCCTCTTAGTAGGCCCGATGAATTGGAAGCTTTGTAAGCAGTATTTATTGCAGCAACTTGTGCAAAGGTTCATAACACTATTACTTAAACAAATAGATCCTTTATTTTTTGCCTTTCAGTATTGTCAAGGTACTTTGGTGTAGTTTCATTGAGTCACCCGTCTTTCCACCTCGAGTAAGTTACATCTGAAGAGAACATCTCGGTGATAGAAACAGTTTCTTTCTTAATCGATTGTTTGGCAATATTTCTGATCCACAGATGGTTGTGCTGTCGTTCTGGAGGTCATCCGGAAGTTGCTGTTGACATTTCATTATGTTTATTACCTTCAGTCACTCTTTTCCTGTGCCAAATCTGCTCCTGCCCTCCTTTTTTTTTTTTTTTAATGCTTCTCCGTTTGTGCCTTATTTATGTGTGCATTACCATGCTGTATATTGGTTCATGGACAGTACTGAGCGCTGGCACAAGCAGGATATGGTCACATTTTTAAAGAAAAGCGCTCCAACTGGCGAAATCAACAAAAAGACGACGACGAAGGGACCACGTAATTCTAGTCATTTGTGTGGTTCTGTGATTTCCAAAAGTGATTTGAGGGGGAAAAAAACTAATGAAAAAATGATGTGTCCAGGGTACTTAAGTGACCTGTTTAAAGTGAACAGCCAGCCCATCTTCTCTTCCACGTTTAGCAAGCTACAGTTCCTGTATCATATGTTCTTTAAGAAAGTCTAAATAATTTATATTTGTGACAAAAACCACTCTTCATGAGAAATGTGCTGTACATATGTTTGGACATATGTAATAAACTTTGTTACACAATGAAATTCATTTCCTCGTGGCCCACTTCATTAAATTCCTCCTGATAAAACAGCTGATTTATTACAACCGCTTCGTCGTATCGCGTTTCCCTGCAAAGACGCATTAAACATAATTGCTCTGCAGGCTTTTAATACATTTTTTTATTGCTGGTACGTATAAAGGTGCTCAGAAACAAGAGGCTTCACACTCATCCTGTTTAAGATACAGGGTTTGTCCCAGTATCTATAACGTTAATTATAAAAATGTTATTCTAAGTGAGCTTAAAGAGAATAAAGTTTAATTCGTAAACTACATTATATAGAAATGTTTTATTTATAGGTCTGTATTAGTTCTGTTATGAAAAAACAAAAAGAATGCATTTTAAAAACTGCTTCACTGATGATTCCCACCAACATGATTACTGCATCCTCCTTTATAGCACATATTCATAATGGATAGCATAATTGTGGGACATATGTCTTGGAATATAATGAAACTTTCATGGTGCACGCTCCAACGTGCTGGATGTCTTGATGCAACACTGTTGGAGGATTCTTATTGGCTGAGCCAGAGCTTGAGGGCGGGCTCTGTGGGCAGACATGATTGTAGTCCTTACTGAGATGTAAGGACTTAATGATCTCATTCACAGCATGTTGGGAGAAGAAAAAGTGGCAAGTTCAACTGTAAGAGCACATTATAATAGTGGTGTCATGCTCTGGGACTGTTCAGGTAATAAGGGACACAACAGCAAACTATCAGCCAGAAAGTTCAGTCTTGGGTTCAGCTGATTACTCCAACTAAATAGGGGCGTTTTTAAATATCAAACTAATATCAAGCTTTTTAAAAAAAAGCCTTCCTAAAATCCTGACTTAAACCTTCTGGTAATGTGATGTCAAAGATTCACCAAAATCCTGGCTGAGGAGCTTTCTGATGGATTCCAAAAGTTGCTGCTCAGGTTGAAAATGACTGAAGGACGTGTAAAGAAACTGTAGCTGTGCTGTATGTATATTTTAGACCGATAAGGTTTGATTATATTTGGAAAAGACAGCAAGCTTTCCTTTTTCTTATACATTTACTCACACAAGCAGCTATAGGAGTAATTGTAATCCCAATACTGATGTAATATGCATGCTTACATTATTTTTACTTCTTGGTGGAGATCTACAGCATTTTCATCATAAGTAGGGTGACCAAACGTCCTGTTGTTTTTTATGAAGTGATAAAAATGGTCCTGTCCTGGAGGAGGCATACTTTATATGTATTGAAATTATAAGGCGTCTTTGAGTAAACTTCGAATATTATTTGAGTATCTCATTGCCGGGCCAAGTGTCCTGGTTTTCAGTAATCAAAATACGGTCACCCTGATCTTAAGGTTGTAAGAGACAGCTGTTTTTAATGGCTTTCTCGCTGTATTCCTCTTTGTTTAACACCAACATGAAAGTCTCTTCATCATCTCACAATCCTCCTCTTTCAGGCATTACTGAAAGCTAATTTAGTCTAGATATACATATACAGCTTATGCATAAAGTAATCCATCCATCCATTATCTATACACCACCTAATCCTCACTAGGGTCATAGGGGGCTGGAGTCTATCCCAGCTGACTCAGGGTGAAGGCAGGGGACACCCTGGACAGGTCACCAGTCTATCACAGGGCTACACTTAGAGACAGACAACCAAGCACACTCACATTCACACCTACGGACAATTTAGAATCACCAATTAACCTCAACAGGTTTTTGTGGGAGGAAGCCAGAGAACCCGGAGAGAACCCACACTGCACGGGGAGAACATGCAAACTCCACGCAGAAAGATCCCAGGATGCGAACTGGCGACCTTCTAGCTGCAAGGTGACAGCGCTAACCACTGCTCCACCTTGCAGCCCCACTAATTAATTGCATACATTAAATTTATTGAGACGTTTCGTGTCTTTTATAAGATGCTGTAATTACTTAACCACTTTGATAACAATTTAACAAAACTATGTTGAAGGCCTGTTGTGTTGACTTAGTAATAAAAATAATAAATTTTTTAAAAAGCAGGTGGTCTAATGGTGCTGTACAAAAAATGTTTTTAAAATGTTCTAAAAAATTACTTTCAATTATGTGAAGCTCTGAAATCCTATTTTTAAACCTCAAGTCAAAGTTAAGCATCATTCTTCAGTTTTATTAGAAGTTTTAAAACCTGCTCCCGTTCATCACATAATCTCTCCAGCAGGGGGCAGTCAAACACCTTTTAGTCCAACCAGAAAACACACATGGTCATTTTCAAAAAATGCCTCCACTCACACAGCACAGGAGACAAAAAGACAGCTCATGAACAAGACATTTTCTTTTATTCAATAAATAATTTACATTATAAACAGCTGGCACGTGGGACCACATTTGCTTTAACGTACAACACAGTTTGATCTTTCTGGCGTTTCCCACTCAGCTATTTTTTTTAGAATTCTTTTTCACCATTACAAGTCAAACAAAACAAAACAAAAAAAACAAGAGCTAAATGAAAAAGAAAACATAAAGTGCTTTAAACTCAAAAACATGAACGCCCCAGAACTCTTTCCTACATTCTCTTTTCTAGGGAAGGTGGGCTGTTTTCAGGATTTTAATTTACTTTAATCTACAGCTAACATTTTATTTCTACAAACACCGAAGCGGATACTGTATTCAGTAAATACTACGCTGTTCTGTGGTGTTCATGTTTTTGCAAAAAAAAGAAGAAAAAATAAAAAAATCCCTTTTCAAATCAAAAGGTTCACATTCACCAAAACATGTACAAAAAACTGGAGTGATAAATTCAAAAAACACAACTGGTAATATACAAATTTAAACTCAACGATGCACAAAACATATGTACAATCTCACATTACACATGTAGAACCATATACTGTAAAACACACAATTACATCTATTAACACAAGATTCAACATTACAATCATCTGTTTGTATTGTACTTTTTTTTGGTGTTTTTATTCTTTTCGTTGTTGTCAAACTGCACCAATACATATTCCAAATAGCAGTAGTAAGGCCTGCCAAATACTTCAGTGTAAAGGATAAATGACCATAAAAGTGAGCCCCAGTAGTGACGGTATCTACAGGGATGACTTGCACACTAACAAGACACTGCAGCTGAGAGCCAAAGTTCAAATGGAAACCTCTCGCGGCGAGGAGTGAAACACAAGGAAAAAAAAACCAGAAAGAAATGTTGCTCCTACAGTATGTGTTACTGTACATTTTTCTGCAAGTTCACCCACAAACACAAAGTTATATACAATCGCCTTAATGTGAGCCGTTTAAGACTGAAAGATGAAAATTCAGCTGTTAGGGAAATGTTGGCACGAGGGCTTGTTCTTTGGCAATGACTTAAGCCATGGAATCACGTCTACAGACATATGCTTATCGTTAAACTCACTAAGCAGCCACAGTCAGGTCAGCACATTGGTAGTCTAGAAAACGCTACACTGACTAGAGGTGATGTCATTACAGCTAGGACTAAACAGCATCTACACCACTGTTCAAGTGAGACTGGAAACCAAGATTTATATTCACAAAAATGATCTCACAGAGTTGTCATGCTTTTTGATTGGTTGATCTACATTCTGTAAAACGCTCTGAGTGCCCTTGATGAAGTTTGTTCTTGTTAGCTACATTCACACGACAGACTTGAAACACAAACACTGTCTGATCAACATGTCAGCTCCGGCAACGGAGGAAAAGGTTGTATGACACCGAGGTTGACGTACAGACGAAAACAGGACTATTTTTATCAGTTCCCTTTTGGAATTTGCTACTTGGCTGATAGAGGCCGTTTGAACAGACTGGAGAGCGTCATCTTTTCTATTTCTGAAATTTTGGGTGCAACACAAAGACATGGGAGAGATTTCTCCCACTGGAGGTTTGTTATCTCCTTTCTGGAAACTTCTGCACCCACAAACACACAAAATTAACCACAGATGCTGAATTCTGCACACATATTGTACTAATGCATACACACACACACACACACACACACACACAACCTAACAATATGACCCATTAATCTCCACAGCAGACAACTGGAGACGCTGCTCTGACATCCTTTTGGCTGAGTGCTTCCTCCAAAAGGCTCAGGCTTTTCCAAAGCTGGAAACTAATCAAACATAGAGCTGCTTCTGGCCTAAGGTTAACAAAAGCCCCTGTCAGGTCCTCTCGCTTCGCCACATGAGCCACAGAGAGCTTCACTGGCTTGGCACCAATGAGGGGATCAGGGGAGGGAGGATCAGCAAACTCCTCTTTCTGCAAAAGATCATCTTGTCCGGCTTCCCATAGGCATGCAGCCCCGATGAGAATGTGGGATTTAATCCCAGGTGGATATCCTGAGCTCTGGGGTAGCTGGGCTCTCTCACCGCTGCTCTCTTCAAAGACCAGTCCTGTGAACCAGCTAAATACACGTGATGATAGGTGGGAGAACGGCAAACTCGTCTTGTCCATAGACTGATGTCAAGACACGACTAAACCACTGATACCACACTCGGGGTTGGGGTGACCTACTGGCAAGTCACTGGTCAAGTCACAGAATCAGAGCAGAAGAGAGGAGCCGATGTGTGACACAGCGATGGTACTCTAACACTCACTGACAGATACACCACGAGGACACTGTTGTGATGGAACTATAGACGAACTCCGCTACATGCACTCCACAGTAAGACAGCGAGAAGGTTGAGGAGGAGGATGGAAAGTAAACCTTGGCCCCTCTGGACTGCACTGCTCATCAACGGATCATTTTCATAGATGTGGTATCTCTTGCTGTTTGAGTGGAGCATTTTTACATCCTCAAAGGCGTAGTAGGCTGCCATGGTGAAGTTTATGTCTCCAGAGGAGAGGAGGTCAAACACACAGGACTGGTAGTACAGATCCTCTACTGGGAGCCGCTCTTTGCACTTGGCTTTTGCAGACTGGTAGGTAAAGCCATGCGCCCCGGTGCTGCTCCTGGTCCTGCTGGCGCTTTGGGCCTCCGCGGCTCGAGCTCTGAAGTTCCTAAAATCGATGCGCTGGTTGGCAGGGCAGCCGTGTAGACACAAGTACAAGTCCTGGTTATCGCCTTCCTCCACTGAGTTCACAACTTCCTCCGGCATCCGCACGGCAAAGGTTAGGTAGCGGCCCACCTGCCGGACCACGATGGTCGTTCCAATGTACCTGGCCTGAATCTCCACATGCTGCCCAGGAACCTTCTCCACCACGCGCAGAGTGTTTGCCCCGTGCCGATCCCCTCCGTTCTTGGAACCATCTGCAAATGCAGCTGGCAGCTCGTCTGTCTCTGCGTGGTACATCTTCTGCTCCACACATTCCTGGAAGTTCTTAAAGATGATTGTCAGCTGCAGGAGGAGAGAGAAAAAACCCATCTTATTAGCATTCATCGTAAAACATCATATGTGTTTGCTTTTAGGATTCTCAGAAATGCGCATATGCAGTCATTAGCGGCCGTGTTTTTCCGCTCGCACACTGAATCCTAGTAACCTGCAGTAAATGCAAACATCAGAATTAAAAAGGGAAGTGCTTATACTTTTGCATTAAGAACAAGTTTGTGCAATGTGTGCCATCTACCCCACCACCCCACTTAAGTGTCGCATTTCAGGGCTGGCTCAACATGGGGGAGGCCAAGGTAAACGCCCTCAAAAAACACGAGTCTCGGCCATGTAAAATCAGGCCTCAGTTTGCAGACACAAAGACGATCCATTCATAGCGCTGAAAAACCTGCCTGTGAACCCCCAGAACTATGCTCCAGGGAGTGGCGTCGGGCCAGGACAGAGCGATATACTCTGCAGCTAATTAAGTGAGACTGGTCAGGACTCTGTAAGCTTGGTTTCATCAGGATACCAATGAGCCATTGTCAGAGCAGCGATACGAGGACAGCCTAGGGACTCTGATGTCTGCTTACTTGAGACAGAGGACAAGGGGTGGGGGTCTACAGAATACACCATTAGCTTGACAATTCATCTGTTGCACCAGTTCTGTCTCAATTCCCTTTACCCTCGGCTAACATTTCCCACCTTCATTAACTTCTGTTTTTGTCCTGCTTCTAATCTTAAACATTTAATGAAAACAAACAAAAGAAAAAGGCCTCCGTTATCGCTCCATCAGAATAAAGATGGAAATAACCAGACAGTTTTATTTGCTGTAGCGAGAGCAATGTACCAACACAGAGCTCTGCTAATGCAGATCTTTTACCAGAAGGGCCTTGTTTGCACAGGTGGCACTGGCTGCTGCTTTGTTTTCTCTTTGTCCAGAATCATGATCTTTAAAAAGCTGTCTCATTTGCTTCCAAGAATAGCAATATAAAAATGCAATTACTTTAAAAGCTTAAAAAAAACCCACAAATGCTTAATAGCGTATCATTAAGAAACCTTGATTACAGAAAATTATAGTTTTTACAAATGCGATTAAGGACAAAGTCCTCTTATACCTCTGTGTAAGTGCTTTAGCTGTGATACTCTGCAAAGTGACTGAAGTCCACAACCATCGCTGTTGAAACGCTGCCAAAACTGAGCCAGCTCTGTCTTACGACCTCAAGTTCTACTAAAAGCAATTGCAGGGGCAGCCATCCAAAGTAACCACTGTACCATTAAACAGAACAAGAGTGCTGATAAAGAAAATATCTCATAATGTGGAGCAAATATCTACAGTTTAATGCAGAGACACTATTTACTGTGCTCAGTATGGACTACACTCTAAGTAGCCCAAACATCAGGCTGAGCTCAAGTGAAAATGGAGCCTCATGTTAACATTTGACGCAGCACTGCTGTTATAACACTAACATATCATTTATAAAGCTTATCAAGATTTTTGTGATTGTGCTGGGTTGGGCTTCTTCATCTGTTATTGTGGACCTCATCCAAACACTAACCAGAATCCACAGTTTGACAGAAAAGCAGCCCCACAGCAGCTCTCCCAATCAGGCCACATGAAAAAGGAGATTCACGCGTACAAATATATGAACAGCTTGATATTCTGATGTAGCGCTGACATTTATGGATCCCATAGATGTTAAACAGACAACTTACAAGCAACATGTAACGTCAATGCAGCAAGGATCACCAAATTACTGTCTTAATTAGGTGATTTTTTAAACTGAAAATGTCACAAAATACTGAAAAGTTGCAATTTATAACCAGACCAACAGTCTAAATCCATGTATTTCAAACAATCATACAAAATACTGATTTCAGAAGCTGGAAACTGGAAAACATTTGGGCTTTCATTGCTTCATAAATGATTCATTGATTATAAAAGTTACTACTGAATAATTTTATGTGGATTAAAGAGCTGAAAGGCTTGGCTCAACAGGAAGTGTATGAGAAATTTGGGTTTAATATTGAAATAAATCTGAATTCTGCAATTCTGGAGAGACAGTGTTGATATTTAGCTAGTTAGCATATCTAAATAGTTAGCATGTACCACATTTACTGTCTCTCCAAACATGTCACCTCCCGTCCTGTTTCCCGCCGTGCACGAGCAAGAACATACATGAGCAGAAACATGAATATGCTCGTTTTGTGTGGATCAACTGGAGCCACTTTGTTTGTTTCCCATCGATAGAGCCAGAGTCATGTACGAATGCCAGATTTTTTTTCAGCAGAACAAATAATTGTGTAAAAAATGTGTTAAATTTGTGTGTCGGAATAGAAATGCTGACTCCATCTTTACTTGGTCAGCTTCCTCTTTTTTTTTTTCTTTAAATAGGAATGCCAAACAAATCCCAGTCCCTGCTTGTCAAGTGTGGGAATTTGTTCTTTTCTTTGTATTATGTGATGGCAACAAGTATTTTGGGATTTTACACTGCTGGACAAATAGAGTCAGACTCATCTGTAAGACATCTGATAACGCCACCATGGACTCTAGGAAACTGTGATGGATATTTCTTTTCGCTATTTTGGGGGAAAAAAAACATTGAAAGTAACTGTTGGCTGCAGACCTAGTTGACTGACTGTTTTCTTAGATCATTCAAACATGCAGGATGAGCAGAAAGAGTCCCACCTTGCTTGTTGCGGTGGCGACGGAGCCCGGTACTACAGGAGTGTTGGTCACCTGGACAGACAGGTACTTGTTATGGATGAGCGGCCAGGCTCCCTCCACTTTACACGTCTGGAAGTCGTCGCCAAACGTTCGGAGGTGCGGGTCTCCAAAGAAGCCACAGTGCGTGTAGTTAGGCGGCGCCGTGTTGCGTGGAAGACTGCGTTCATAGTGGCACACCTCCGGGCCATCGGAGCGTTCCTGGCTGTCGGTCAGGACCGGCGGCGGTGGAGGAGGAAGCGGGGTCCGGGCACGAGGTTGGGATGTCGGTCCCTCCTTGGAGCAGTTGTGTTGGCTCATTAAATCCTCTATGCCATGCTGGGCGGAGTGGTACGTCAAGTCACCCCTGCAGGTACGAGCGGTCCGGCGTACGCAGCTGTTGTACGCACGCAGCGCCGTGCAAAACTCCTCCTCCGGTCCAGAGTTCGAGGTGGAGGCCCAAAATTCGGAGTTACACTTGAGGATCTTGCACTGCAGGCTCACTGTCAGGGAGGAACAAGATACTATTTGAACAAAAGAAGCAAACCGGAGGCAACCATGTCATCTGGAAACATGATACCTACAAGCACACAGATAAAGCCTTAAGAAAACTTTAGCTGGTATTGATGGATGGTAGTTTAAAATCACTGAGGTAGAAAATTTTCCAGCATTAGAGCAACTACAGCTAATGTTTACTGCCCTTTTAAAGGCTGCAGCGCTAAATGTGGTCTTACTTTTCTTGCATACTATACATTAAATGAGCACCCTTATCGTAAGAATAATAACACCCAAAATAGCAAAGCAGTTATGGTTTGCCACAAACTTTGTTGGCATCTGATCAAAATTTTAAAGGTCCCAGATGCTACGAAAGAAGAAAATAAGCTGAAAGCACTATTTTATGCAGAAAAGGTCCAATAACATGTTTATATATAGAATCTATCCATTTTTTTTCTATATAACAACTGCAAAAAGCAGCCTGAACCCCCCTCAGGTCCACCTGGATCTAAAGTAGCTCTACTGTTTATTGTTAAGAAGTGTGCTTCCCTTTCACACCCACTGGTTTCTATTTATGTCTAAGTAAAAATGCCATTAGGGAACCTAATCTGCACCTTTACTGATAATTACCACCGCCTTTCTGTAGATTGTTTTCGACAGTTTTCAAGACACATCCGGCTAACTCTTGACACAAATGTTCTTCAAACATTTCTCAGGATGCCTTGTTGCGACACCACGTTTCACTAGTATCACCTTGGACTAATAAAGCGTTTATTTGACTGGGCTGTGTCTAGAGGAGGGGGGACAGAGAGAAACCATATCAACACTTTGAAGTCACACTTTAAACAATATTTCTCCTGAAAGCTTCACCGCAGCTCTCTCCAACCCCCACACCGCCTCAGCCATTTGATAGATGGCAATAAACTAATCTTGATCTCAGCTATCAGCGCATTATCACTTTGTTGTTTGATGGTAATTGATTTATGAGGGACACTGATAAGGATTTGGCATGTGTGCAAAGTGAGCTGACTTGAGGTGTCCCCACAGGAAAAAGTCATAATTGTCCAATTGAAAATTTATTGAGTCATTTGAAACTGTAACACAGCACAGCTAATGTGGTTTAATTCTTAGTTTAATCAAGTTAAAGGCTGGAAAAGAAATTACTTTTAGGTGAAATAGTGAGGCATGCCCCCATCCCCCAAAAAACACAACAAGGCTTTAGAGCTGCAGCAGCTCCAACAAGACCTCACATTTCTTGGTCTTTCTCCAATTAAATACAATAAAACACTGACTAAACCTATCAAACTCAGTCATATTTACTCTATAATATGTAGGCTCACTTTTTAAACAGTCTTTTCCAAAAGTCTTTTAAGTAAATGCTCTAAATCAAGCTAATCTTTGTAATCTAGTAGATTTTAATCACCTTTGCATTAAGTTTGGTGCGAGTCCAAGCGACCGCTATGGAGAATTAAACGTGTTTTCTCGTTGTTTTACAAATTAGCGGACTTCAGCAAATACTTCGTAATTTCTAGGCATTATAAGTAACTGTAGTTCAATTGTAATATCACTACAACAGTTCGGCTGTTAAACAGTGATCGAATATGGAAACTTTTGCCGGCCAAAGTGGAAAAAGCAGTAAGTTGTGGAGAGCCAGAGTGAAGCTAACGCTGCGCTGTGATTTACAAAGTTAAGCTGCGGCTCGTAACGTTATCTTGACCGGATCGTCTGTCGTGGCTTAACGCTGCTTTAAAAGTGAAATATCGTGTCTTACCGCAGGGAAAGAGTGACAAAAACACGGCGAGGACTCTGCACACTTCAAGCGCCGAGGGTCTCCCTCTTTTCCCCATAACCATCCATCCAGCTCGGGGTCGCACTTTACTCCTCTCCCTGGTCAAATCAGATGAAGGAACAAAAAAAAAAAAAAAAGAAAAACAGTGGAGAAAAGTTAGCTACAGCCGCCAAGTCCTAGCTGGAGGGAAACACACGCAAAAAAAGTCCATGAAGCCAGCTTCCCTGTCCTCTCATCCCTGGTAGGAGGCTGTCGTGTGGCTCTCTCTGCGGCTAATGGAGGTGAGCTCAGCGGTCGCTGCTAGCTAACAGTCGGCGGAGGACCAACGGCTGTGAGGCGGGCGGCCGCAGCGTCTTGTGTTCGGGGAGTGTCGAGGAGGTGCAGCCTCGGAGGGCCGAGCGGACACACGGAGCCAATCACAGCCGCCTGCTCTGCCCCGAAAACACCCCCCCGCCCTCCTCCTCCTTCACGAGCTCTCAAGTTACACCTCAATGTGCAGACTTGTTCCACCGACTTTTCACGAGCCACACAGTGCGCGAGGCCAGGTAAGAGCGGCCTGATGTGCTGCTGCAATCACAACACGAGCTGGGAGAATGAGAGCAGCCTCCATAGAGCAGGAGTAGGGGAGATAAACTCAGAGGAAAGAGGAGGGAAGATACCAAAGGTGCAAACCAGCTACCAAACTTTTCTTTTGCACATCAATCCACACATGTCACACAGACCCAAAATGGTGGATACAAGCCAAGAGTCCAACAACAGGCACAGAATGATGCACAAATATCTCCATTTGATTGGAAATCCCAGCTTTACAACTAACTGATCTGCTGTTTCCCCAAACCCCACACTGACCCTGTTGGGTTTGCTGTCATTCATAGCGACATAATGCTTGTGTTCAGCATGGTGGAACAAGTGGATGTTTGGCATTTCTCCTTGAGAATTAATCAATTATTGATGGCAAATGGTTTCACTGATGAATAGTTGCAGTTCTGTGTATGATACTGTCAGAAATACAGTGTGGGACAAATAGAGAAGGTGCACAGTGGGTCGGAAATGTGACTTCTGAAACATATCCTGTCAAATTAACCCTATTCGGGATTTTCATGTTGCCATTGGACACCAAGAAGGAATCTGTGCAAAATATTTGTTGGTATTTATTATAGACTTTCATACTATGTTACATAAATGTTCTGATAAGTTGACGTATTTTTGGTTCCAACTGCATGAAAGTGTCCCTCTTTTTATATGTTAAAAAAAAAATCTGCAAAATTAAAAAACAATACCTGTCACCTAAACCAAATGTTCTGGGGTCCAAAATACCCCCAAAAGTCCTGAATAGGGTTAAAGTGAACATCACCATGTGGTAGTAACCTAACCAAGGCCATACGCTCATGCATGCTTTCATTTTACTGAACTCATAATGCTCATAATTTAAACAGAGCCACAGCCAGGATTTAGAGACAATGGACTCCAGATTCCTCCAAAAGTAAAACCAATCCTTCATGTTTTGTAGACATCAACAAAAAGGCACATTTTCATTTGCTATACATATGCATTATCTGAATTCTTATCGTCTTACAGGGGCTTAATTATGATTAGGAATTGACTTTAGCCCTGAATCAATAGCAAAATGAGGATTAAAGCACTCACTCTGTGTGACATGTCTGTAATTGTATGATGTAAACTCATCTTCAGGTTGTTAAAAGACTAAAAATCCCCCTGAAAATGAATACTGAGAGCATGAGGCATGTGTCTGAGTGGAAATATTCATGTGTTAATCAGTGGCAGTCGTTTACTTAGCATGTAAAGATTTGCCTGCCGTAGTTTAAAGCACCCAGCAGGACATGAAGCCAGTGAATGTACTTCAAGGCTCAATAAATGAATGAAGGTGCTATTGTACAGTATGTTTCCCTGCTACTTGTTTAGTAGAATCCACACAGCTGGGCTTTTAGTTGTAATACGAGTATTTTCTTGCATGTTGATTTAATGGATTTGTACACATTTTCGCAAACAGCCGAGCAGAGCAGGCGTTGATCTCCTCCTCCATGTGTCGTAATACCCCCTCCTTTTGATTATCTTTCAGTTGTGCAAATGACACATCACTGTTGTCTTTCACTAACCATTTCAACCAAAAAACACAACCAGACAAACGGCTGCGTGCGCTTCAGGTTGTGGCTGGCTGTAACAGTATTTTTCCATAGAGTGCTTTTGTGGTTTGCTGTCCCTCTCATGGGTGATGGATACGTTCATGTACAATGAGGTCTGAGCCTACACATGTTTTCAACAAGGGTGGCCCTGTGCAGGCTCACTCCGACGTAGCGGGCATTCACGTCTGAAATGAATGACTGCAGCTGAAAAGGTGCATAAAGCTGCTGGGTGAAATGTTGTGATGAATCGTGGAATATTTTCGGATCGTGGCACAGATACCGTGGCTGCAAGCAGGAGTGAAATTACCCCCCCCGTAGCACTCTAAAGGATGCTGACGTCTTTATCGAGGTTGACTGTTGGGAAGACAAACCCTCAGGATCGATGTGTCCGTACACCAAATACATTCACCTGTTGCAGTGACAAAGGTGCAACATGTAGGGATGTGTACGTCTGGATGCATGATTGTTGTTAATGATGCTAAATGTTTTGAGTTGATTTATCGCCTGTTTGTGGGGAACAAGCTGATGAATTAGTCAGTAAATCATAGTGTCTAGCAGCATTATGTCCACATATTTAATAAACTTTAAGGTATTCATCATGGTCAGTGATAACTAATTATTTGACAGATTTTTCATACATTTCAGTGAAAAATCTGCTTTAATTTGAAGTCCCTGATCTCTGTCTTTGTTCCCTATTTGTTGCTTAAATCCGAAAGTTGCAATTATTCCAATTAGTATGACGGATTACTAATAGTGGTAGCTATTCTGATCATCAATTTAATTGACATTTATTAAGCCAAAACAAATGCCAGAAAGCATCGTGTGGCTCCAGTTTCTCAAATTTCAGTTTCATATCACATGTAAAAGGAATATCTTTGAGGGTATTTTTTGGGAAAAACATGCTGCTTTGTTTTTTAAAACAATTTTCTGATTTTTTTTTAAAAAGATGAATTGATTAATCATTAATAAAATAAAACATTTAGTAGCAGCCCTGCAGTCATAAACAATTAAAATGAGGTTAGGACCTCTGCTCATATGCTGTCTTCTGCCATAAAGCAGGTCACTATGAGATGATAATATGATGGCACCCCCCATTAGCATAATGTTGGATTCATTTTACCTGATTAATCCCTCGGGTTGCATAGATTCACTTTTTGTTACACGAGCGTGTAAATTAGGGAATATTAAGCATAATATAGAGACATCTGTCCGACCGTGTGCTCCTCATGTGGAAACAGGTAAAGGCAACAATAAAACGTCTCCATAAATCCAGTATTACAGTCATGTTTTATAGGGAGCTGCTCTAAATCTGTCACATCACCTGTCACACACATTTTGATGACATTGTGTTAGAATGTGAACAACACCACCTCTGACGAGCTGCTCCATCCCTTTAGTGTTGAACTGTGTGACTACATTATATTTTGTCTTTTCTGTGCATGTGGACTGATCCTCTTTTCCAACAGATGGCGCTTGTTATGAGCTCTGATATGAAACCTCAAATCATGACACAAACGCACATGGCATTACGAGGACAACCAAACCTGTCATTAAATTTGAGCTTTACGGACAGCTCGGTTATTGGTCTAATTATAGCTGTCATGCACTTTAGGATTTAAAAGGTGAGAATCTGCAGCCGACAGGCGCATTTTGTCCTGTTGCTCTGAAGGAGATCATCCCTTATGGCATGTCAGATTGACGTTTTTTTTGGAGGGGGGGTTGCAATAAATCCTGACAGGATAAATAAAATAGTGCTGCAGGTTGTTGGTTTTTTATGAGGACAGTGAGTGCAGATTATAGTTGCATGTAGAAATTCAGTGTTTTCTCCTGTGGCACTAAATGGATCAAGGTGGATAATATTGCAGAAATCCGGATAGTAGATGGTTAAAAAAAAAAAGATATTTCTAAAGCACAGAGTTTGACAAGCACCTCCTGTTAAAAATCAACTCGATCAATAATGGTTAAAATTTAAAACAAGTCCCAAACATGCAAGAAACCAAACCAACCTTGGCGACTGCATGGGCGACTCTGGAGTCCTGCAGGAACCCGGAGGACAGCGAACAGGAGCGAGAGGAAGCAGACTCCTTTTTTTTCTTTTTTTTTTGGAAAAAAGAAATCTCCCCCTTTAAGAAAAAAAAAGAAAAGAACCACGTCCAGTGTGTCACAGTAATCCCAAATCAAACGCACTCAGCGGCTCTCTGTGCGTAAAACCCGCCAGTCTGCGCATGATGGTCCGCGCGATCAGCTCTCTCCAAAAAAAAAAGTCTGCAAATCAAAGTGCTCTTCTCTCTGTTACTTCATTTAAACAGCCACTTCTCGCGGATCTCTCCGGCCATTGCTTTAACTCATTTGACTATCAGTCGATCGGAAAGGAGACATTATGATAGATTAAGTCCAGTAATTGGCCTCATCCGCGTGCCGAATCCAAATTGTTAGTTATGGTCGACGTCGGGGAAGAAGAAAAAAGCCCTGAGGGGCAAATCTGCTGCTGCTGCTGCCGCTGCTGCTGCTGCTGCGTACGGCCCGATCCGCTGTGTGGATGTTGTGAAATGGCTAGTTAGAAAGTGTGAGAGAGACAATGATCGGCTCTGCATGACGCCGCATGGGAGCCCCCAATTCTCAGATCCCCCCCTTTTCTCCCCCCCCAACTAGTTCTCCTCTCAGACGCTTCTGGTGAGAGGGGAGTTTGCAGAATAGGTCGCAGCTGCAACTGAAAAACAAGCCAGAAATGAGTTTGACAGTTCTTTTTTTTTTATGTGCAACTAAACCCATAAATTGCCAGCATTGCTTTCACTTTAATCAAATGCCATTTTCCTGCTTTTCTGTGTTTGATTTTCTGCAGTATTTCATATTCCTGCAGGATCAAGTTTCTACACCCATAACAACACTTCTCAATTGTTTTTTTTTAAATTTCCTGTCACTGATTTCCATCAAATAGCCCCTTTTTGTCAGATGTGCACCCTCGCCAGATCACCTTTGTCGGTCCCTCATCTTTGCAAATCACAGGACAAATCCATAATAATCAGGATTTAATGGAGGATCAGATGGACAAACACTTTGCAGGCAGGAGGGAGGGGGTTGGGGGTATGCTCAAGGGCTGCAAGGAGGCTGCACCTGTGTTTTAGGATCAGACTGCATGCAGGAAAATACCACCACAACCTCCCCCCTCTCTCTCTCTCCCTCTCCCTCCCTCCTCTGAAGCTTTTCAAGCCTCCACTCCTTACAACACAACTGCTGCTCCAGTTTCTCTCTCACTTGAAGCAGCAAAAAATGACCAGGGTTCTCCGCCGGGCTGATAATCTAACCAAATAAATGCAGAGCTGATCGAATCCTTTCTGAGCTTCACCTTCCATCAGACGCCGTAGATGTCATTTGCACGGAGCTGCCGAACAGAGCTGTCACATTACATCACCCCTCGGTGCGTCCGGCAAGAAACTGACCCCAGTAATCCGCTCGTTTACCACCAGCACAGCCCGGACCTGCCATCTGCAGATGGCCACTGAGAGGCAGCATATTTTACATGGATGTAACAGAAGAACATGAAAGAGTGACACCCCAGTGTGAAAAGAATGGCTTTGGAGGTGCCGGATGCCGGCCCCATCTCAAACACAGCTGGTGCACACGCTGCCTTGCTGAGGTATTATGGCGAGTTAACACAACAGACCTGCTTTACATGTCATTGGATTAATAAAACACTTCGATCGCGTGGGCGTGCGTGTGTGCTGCAGATGGGGTTCTGCTTCATTTTACAGAACAAATCAGAGACAATCAGGCATGTAACCGTTATAGCCACCAAATCAGCATTCAATGACGCGTGCACACACGAGGCTGTCTGTCATTTGCTTTAGTAGCCTGTGATTTAGTCCGTTGTGAATAATCTGTCAAGTTAAAGCTGCTAAAAATCTTTATAGAGAGGAGAGCGTACCTGTGAGACTGATGTCAAAAAAAGATGACAAGCCTCCAGATTCTGGTTGAAACGTTTTATTTTTCAGTCCTTAAACTATAGACGGAGGGATTCACAAGAAGATTTCTGCAACATGATTAATCGCAAACTGTACCACAAACGGAGAGGAGTCATTGAAATCTTGCTTCACTATCGGGTGATTTCCTCAGATCGCCACATGTCCCTCTGTCGGATCAAAAGTTCACTGGTGACTTCTTAGGAAGGAACAGTTGTGCAGACTCAGTTTCACTACCCTTTTTTTGATGTTGTTATAGAAACTGAGGTGATTTTTTTCCCCCGCCCTCTGGACACATAAAGCACAATAAAAAGAAATGTCCTTGAGCAACGGACCACATGTTGGGTGTGGATGAAAGACGTGGGTTCATCTGTTGCAGTGTTTCTGAGTGAGACATGGATTAGTAACCATCATGTGCTCCCACTGACCTATCCAGGGTTTTTTTTTTAGAGGTGTCATACATTGCATTGTGCTTACACATCTCTAAAAGATTCACCAGGACTGTTAGAGACACATCCACCTGTGATCATTATATTGACTGAAAGAAACACACTAATGTCCTCCTGATTACACTCCAATTAAAATATTATCATTTCCCATGTTGAGTTGATTGGCTCCAAATGATCTTAACTTGTAGTACCGCTTAAACAATTAATCCACTACAGCAGATAGTTATTTGTTAATCAATTGATTGTTTATGTAGTTTCTCAAGCAAAAACACCAAACTACAGTCGTGACTCCATAATCCCAGACTAAATGTAAAACCTTCTGTTATGTCGGATAGCAAGGCTGTCGGATTGTCAAGATGGAGGTCGAGATACAAGGAGGGCTTGATACTTGAAGGGTGATTTGTTGTTAATATTTATTGTTGTTAGCAGGGCTGGTCCGAATAGCACTTTCCAGGCTCAATTAATGATGAATATCCGAATATTCGTCATGGTCAGGAGGTACTTCCACCCCGGGGGAGCGCTCCAACGGCAAGGAAGTGGCCGGAACGCACAGGCAGTGTTTGGCTGCTGATGCCAGTTTAGTTAGCGCTCACACTTCTGTTTCCACCATCAGCGGTGGCGGGGGAGTGGCGAATACACTCCACCGTTACCATCCATGTTTATTTCAGTGAGCATGCTCACTGCGTGTGACGTCGACGTGTCCTCTTCTGCGCATGTGGGACACTTTTGGGTCGTATGAAGTTCACACAGCAGATCACATACAAGTCGCATTTAATTAGAAATGTGAACGAACTGGCAAAAAAATCGGATTTCACAAAAAAAATCTGAATTGAGCATTAAGTCCTGCAGTCTGAACGTAGCCAATCTGTGGGATTGTTCAGTCAGATAATACGCCGTTATCCTGATTTGTGACATAAAATATCATGTCGGAGTCTGAATCCAAGGTTGTCGGTATGTTAAGGCTGTTTTTAATGGGTTCCGTTCGTTTTTCCTAAAAACCTGTCGGATAGCAAGGTTTCCAGATTGTTAAGTGTCGGATTATCGAGTCATGACTGTAGTTCCATTTCTTTTGGTTGTGGTTGGACAAAACAAGGCATCTGGTGACTTCTCATTAAGCTGTATGAAACCATGTTGTGCATTTTTTTCCCCATTTCTGACAATAACAGACCAAATAATGGAGCCATTAACTGAGAAAATGATCGCTGCCCTACATTCTGCAATAACAACAGATATTTGAAACTCAAGGATCTGTGCTCTGGCTTTAAAGAGGTATTTTAGAAGAAACCCGTCGTGATGCAAACACAGCTGGGTTTGATGTGTGTGGATCAGAAAAATGGTTCTGCTTTGTTTACTTGAAACGTCATTGGTGTTGACTAGTGCTGTCTATTTGTATAAGATCATACGTGTACCATACACCCATTCCCTCATGTCTGGACTGTTGCTGATACTGTATTGTGATCCTGATTGAACTTTTATTACTGCCAGAGGTTTTCTTTTTCTTTAAAAGGCTGCGAAAGTAGAGCAGTGTTAACCAGTGAGCGTCCCTTTAGCAGTCTGTGAAAACACAACCAGACTAAGATCAATGTTACATGTACATGATTGGCATTTAAAAAGAGGGGGTGGTGCACACCGCATCACTGTCTTTGGTAATAAGGTGTGAGCGTGAATTCAAAAAATTCTATTAAGGGGTGATATGTGGGGCTCGGATAGTGTGTGTGGAATTACTGCCACGGTCTGTAACAATATGAATGCAGGAAGCTTGCAAATTGGCCTGTTCATGCACACAGAGGAAGGGACTTGAATGTGTAAACCCTCATTATAGAATCTCCTTTCACATTTGGAGCAGAGAAGGTGAGGGTTTTTTTCTCCCCCCCCCCCCCCCCTCTTTTTTTTTTTCTTTCTAAAGCCAGACTGCAATCCAGTGAGAATTATGCACACTGCTTAATTCCAGACATGGACCAAACTAGACAGAGTGTGTACAGACTGCTAGACAAATAATTAGCTCTGCCGCTAAACAGAACTGATGTCAGTGAAAGACACATCGCATGGAGCCAAATTTTTTTTTTTTAGGGGAGAAACGTTGGATAACTGTTTTAAGCGATCATCACAATTTAGCACCTGACGGGGTTTACAAAAAAAAAAAAACCACGCTGGTGAGCAGCCATGACTCCATTTGCATGCAAGATGCCACAAATGCAACGCAAGACAACTGAGGCTTATCTCAATAAAACAGCTGCCTTTTTAATTTCCTGCTTCTGAAAGTCTGCACAAAAAGTGGAAGACTATTTTTATATTCAGTTTATGAATATAGAATTAGATAAGCTTTAACTTCACGCTGTGGAAGAAAATGACGATATTTGGCGTCGTGCCCGTGTTTGTCTCCGCTGCCTTTAAAACAATTATTGCACTTTTCTGTGTTGCATTTTACACAGACAATAGGTGCAAAATGTTGACCCTCACTAGATTGTAATTAAAATTCCAAAATCGTGCGTATTGTATTAATTCATCAGACTGCGCGGATTAATCCAACAATGTCTATGTTAGGAGGCCTCATTATATTCCTCACTGTCGCCAAGGTTTTAGTTTATATGCTTCTAGCTGACGGATTGTATCTCGGTGCAGCAGAGACACAATACAAGACAACTGTGTGTCTTTGAATAGCTTCCTGTCAGAGCGACTCTTTTCCCTCCATTTCAACTCAACGTATCCATCCTTGACCCGTGTCGACGCACAACAATAATACCACTGAGAGAAATATGAGCGGAGACATTATCACAACAAACTGACCCACGCTGTTCGCTCTAAATGCGCCTCTAAATGAATGCGAACGCTGTCTGAGGATTGGAAAATAAGCGGAATTCCTCGCAGCTCTTTTACGCCGGGGCTTCTCCTGCCTGGTTGTTGAACTTTACTAGTGTCCTGCAGTGTTGTCATGTATGCACAGCTGCAGGGGCTTCGTGCTGCCCCTTGCTTTTGTCCCGTCTTGTCACAATAGCTGCAGCAGAAAAAGCTGGTGCAGGTGCGAGGAAATTATTGGCAGCCCAAAAATGGCTTTGGAGCCTTCATGCTCCGGTGATGGACAGAAGCAGGCTTCTTCGAACTGCATGG